TTTTTCCATCCCTTCACTTTCAGTCTATGTGTGTCCTTAAAGCTGAAATGAATCTCTTGTAGGTAGTATATAGTTGGGTCTTATTTTTTTTTTTATCCACCCAGCTACTCTGTGCCTTTTGATTGATGAGCTCAATCCATTTACATTTAGAGTTAGTGTTGATATGTGAAGACTTACTAATGCCATCTTATTAATTGTTTTCTGGTTGTTTTGTGTTTCCATTGTTTCTTTTTCCCTCCATCTCTGCTTCCCTTTGTAAACTGGCGATTTTCCGTGGTCATATGCTCTATTTCCCCTTTAACTTCTATGCATCTGCTCTAGGTTTTTGAATGGCAGTACTGTGAGGCTTACATAAAACACTTCATAGATGAAACAGTTCCTTTTAAGCTGATAGCTACTTAACTTAGATCATCTACAAAAGCTTCACCCTTTTACTCCCTACCTTTTATATTTTTGATCTCATTATTTACCTTTTTATACAGTGCATTCATGAACAAGTTAGAGTAGCTGTAATTATTTTTAATGCTCGTTTCTTTTGACCTTTATACTATAGTTAAATGGTTAACACACCATCCTATTACATATTTACTTTTCTAAGTCTGACTGTATATTTACCGTTACCAGTGTGTCATATTGTTGTATTGTTGTAAGTTGCTGATTAGCGTCTTTTCATTTTAGCTGGAAGAACTTTCAGCATTTCTTGCAGTGCAGGTCTAGTGGTGTGAACTCCCTCAGTTTTTGTTTGTCTGGGAATTCTTTATTTCTCTTTCATATCTGAGGGATAATGGCTGGATAGAGTATTCTTGGCTGGCAGCTTTTTTCTTTCAACACTTTGAATATGTCATTCCACTCTCTATCCTTGATTTTTGACAGTTTCATTATTATATGTCCTGGAGAAGGTCTTTTTTTTGCATTGAGATAATAGGGTGATCTGTTAGGTTCATGAAATTGGATGTCCAGTTTTCTCCCCAGATTTTGGAAATTCTCAGCTATTCTTTAATTTTCTCTTCCCTCCCCCCTGTTTTCTCCTTCTGGAATCCCGATCTTTCTAATATTTGTTCTTTTGATGGGATCCTTTAGGTCACGTGGGCTTTCTTCACTCTTTTTCATTTGTTCTTCTCTAACTGGGTTACTTCAGAATTCCTGTCCTCTAGCTCACTTATTCTGTCTTCCATTTGCTCTTCTCTGCTGCATATGCTCTTTATTGTATTTTTCATTTCATTCATTGAGTTCTTCAGCTCTGGAATTTCTGTTTAGTTCCTTATATGATTTCTATCTCTTTGGTAAAAATCTCATTTTGGTCATGTATTTCTTTTGAGATTTTGATGAATCGTCTTTCTAAGTTTTCTGTGGCTCACTGAGTTTCTTCGAAACAACTATTTTGAATTCTTTATCAGCTAGATCACAAATTTCATGTCTTTGAGCTTGGTTATTGGAGAATTATTATTTTGTCTTTGTGATGGGATGTTTCTTTGATTTTTCCTGTTTCTTATAGTTTTGTGTTGCTGCTTTTGTGCTTGAAGCAGCAGACGTCTCCTTAAGTCTTTACTAGTTGCCTCCAGATGGGGTATTCTGTTGGATGGTATTGTTACTATCTGCAGTATTCTCTGTCTTTGTATGGGTACACCTGTTGCACTCTTCTTGCTCCCTCTTGTGGTGGAACTCTCAAACTTTTCTGTCTTCTTTGTTTTTGGTGTTTTTTGTTTTTGGTGAGGAAAATTGGCCATGAGCTAATATCTGTTGCCAATCTTCCTCTTTTTGCTTGAGGAAGATTATAGCTGAGTTAATATCTGTGCCAATCTTCCTCTATTTTTTGTGAGTTGCCACCATAGTGTGGTGGCTTGACGAGTGGTGTGTAGGTCCGCGCCTGGGATCCAAACCTCTGCTGGAGTGGAGTACATGAACTTAACCACTATGCCACAAGGCCGGCCCCTTTTCTGTCTTCTTTGGTTCTTAGAACTCACCATGCTGGCTACTGGAAGCCTCTCTTTCTTTCCTAGAAGGTGGAGCTATAGCTCAAGTTTGTGCTTTCTCCCTTGTGCATAGACTGTGGCCTGTCTTCCGAGCATGCTGCCTGTCCACCAGAGATTTCTCTCACCACCACACACAGAGGCGCACACAAGGAGTCAGCCACAGAGTGGGAGAAGTGTGCGTTTAGTACTCAGGCTGTTGGGGGTGCCCACAGGTTCCGACAGAGATCCCTGGGTGTGGTACTTACAGAGGCTCATGGGTGGACTTCCTGCTAAGGGCAGTCAGCAGGAACTGCATCCCTTTAATGTCCTTTGAAGTTCTTATCTGCCTCTTTCCCAATGTCTTCACTCCCCCTGGTCATGGAGGTCCTGCCTCAGTACTCTGGGTCCTCCTGGAGAAAAAAGTTTCTCCAGCCTCATCCCACACAACTGTGGTGGCCAGGCACTCGCTCACCGTTATCCTTTACCCCGTGTGGGAGAGGTCGCTGCAGCAGGATAGTTCAGCCCCCTGCAGGGTTTCCTGGTGGGGGTATGGGGGCGGAGGGGGTACGATGCTGGGAGTTCCTCTTACCACTGCTTCTGCTGTGACCAAACTTGTTTTCGTTTTGCTTTAATGGTACACTGGAATCTCTCCTCAGGAAGGCTAGACTTATGCAAATTCTCTCTTGAGTGTGGGTGTCTCCCCAGTTTAGTAATCTCCAGATTCTTTCCCAACTGCGGCAAAAGGGGTCTGGGCAGGTTTGCTGGCTCTGCAGCTGTCACCACGTTCTGTCTGTTTAGTACTAGATGCACAGGTGGGCAAGGCTCCTCCTGGGTCCCTCTGCGTACGGTGCTAGATCCCACATACTCACAAAGGTGCTTCTGTTCGCAGATGGGTGTCTAATTTGTTGTTTAAGAAGGAGGGTAAAAGAGGAATGTCCCACGCCACCATGATGCTGACATCATTCTCCTTCTGATTTTTAGAAATTACCATCTAATTATCAGAACAGGTCCTTTATTTAAAGGCCTGTAGTGGGAAACTTATCTTTAACAAGGCTTGAGTGACTAATTACCAGGTAATGAAACAATATTGCATTTCGTTTAAAATATTATAGAATTATGACTTTTTAATACACCAAATTCTTTTCTTACAACTTGCTCCCCCCCTTTTCTGCCCACCCCAGGACTTAGACTAAATGTGAGGTGTTTGATTCTTTACATATATTCTTCACTGCAAATGTGTTTAGTTTGTCCCTTACACTAAGTGATGGCAGAGGCTAGAATTATGGACAGTATACAGTTGAAAAGTTAAATAGATGACTTTGATTATGAGTGCCCAAAGCTTGTTCCTTTCTTTCTTCTGCAAAGGGAGAGATAGAATTCCCATTTTAAATAGCAGAGTCCTAACATCAAAATCAAAAGCAACAAAAGCAGAAATCAATAAGTCGGACTACATCAAACTGAAACTTCTGCACAGCAAAGAAAACCGTCAACAGAATGAAAAGGCAACCTACAGAATGGGAGAAAATAATTGCAGATCATATATCTAGTAAGAGGCTAATATTCAAAATATATAAATAACTCATATAACTCAAGAGCAAAAAAACAATCTGATTAAAAAATGGGCAGAAGATCTGAATAGACATTTTTCCAAAGAAGACATACAGATGGCCAAGAAGTACATGAAAAGGTGCTCGACGTCTCTAATCATCAGGGAAATGCAAATCAAAACCACAATGAGACATTACCTCACACCTGTTAGAATGCCTATTATCAAAAAGACTAGAAATAACAGGTATTAGTGAGGATGTGGAGAAAAGGGAACCCTTGTGCACTTTGTGGGAATGTAAATTGGTGTAGCCACTATGGAAAGTAAAGTGGAAGCTCCTCAAAAAGTTAAAAATAGAACTGACATATGATCCAGCAATTCCACTTGTGGGTATTTATCCAAAGAAAACGAAAACACTAACTTGAAAAGACATCTGCAGCCCCACGTTCACTGCAGCATTTACAATAGTCAAGACGTGGAAACAACCTCAGTGTCCATCGATAGATGAATGTGTGAAGAAATTGTGGTGTATATGTATGATGGAATATCATTCAGCCATAAAAAGAATGAAATCTCGCCGTTTGCAACAACATGGGTGGACCTTAAGGGTATTATGCTAAGTGAAATAAGTCAGAGAAACATAAATACCGTATGATAATCACTTATACGTGGAATCTAAAAATAAAAGAATAAAGAACCAAGCTCGTAGATACAGAGAACAGAGGTGGGAGCTGGGGGATGTGAGAAATGGGTGAACTGTTTTTGTTTTTTAGTTTTAACAAATTGAATAAAAAATAAATAGCAGAATCACTCTATCCTACCATTTAAAAAAAACAACCCTGATCGATCAGTCAATGAGGGAAGAAGTATCTCGTATTATTTTGCTTTCACAGACTTAGGTGTTTCTTAGCCTTCATTTCAATATCTAGGTTTTATTCATTAGCATTTAAATGGAAAAACTGTGTAGGTTGGGGTTTGGTGACTCTCTCTGGTCATGAGAAACAGATGGTGGTGTTTAAGAATTGTCTGTGTCAGAGATTAGAAAACCACTCTTCTCCCAACCACGGGCTTTCCCTGGGACCCCGGGGAGTTCCTGCAGCTTCGAGATAGATGGACACAATTCCTTCTCTGTGATGCCTTCTGAGCCTCACTGCTCACTTTCCCGCCTCTTTTCCATGGTCTCTGTGAAGATGAGCTCTGTAAATGAGCATGAAAGTGCTGGGGGTGGGGGCATGAGTGTGTTTCAGTCTGTCTTTCCGAGGAGGTGGACACAGATTGCCCACAGCTGAGGGCAGGAGACAGCATCGTTTCGACTCTTGGTGCCCAGCTTGAGAAATAAAAACCAAAAGTTGGCTGGGTCCTCAGAGTGACACATTAATGATAAGATCAAACCTCACTTTTCCGTAGTGCTTTCTGTGTGCCAGGTTTTCAGCATTTTACATGAGCTTTTCTCAGCCCTCAAAGAATCGTATGAATTGGGTGCCTCTATTACGCTCATTTTACAGTTGAGGAAACTGAGGCCTGGAGAAGCCAAGTGAGTGTCCCAAGGTCACTTAACTAGCAAGTGGCAGGAGAGGGCCAGGAAGGAACTCTGCTGGTGTCCAGTGGGAAAACCTCATCCTCAGACCTGGGATGCTCTCCTTCCTGGGACTTCTGTTGACTCAGGAAAGGGAGCCAGAGTCTGCCTCGTGTGAGCTGTCGCCGCCCCAGTGGACAGGGGATATAAGAGATCATCGAGTTCGAAAATCTTTGGGTAGAAAGGCACCCAAATGCTCTCTGATTCCTCCCTTTCCCTGATGCATGAATCTTTCTCGAGTATTTCCAAAAGGTTTTCCAGGCTCTGCTGGAATGTCTTAAAGGGTTAAGGCATTTAGTCTCTCGTGAGGCCCCCCCATGTTTGGACAGCTTGAAGTGCCAGGACAGTCCAGCCAGCCTCCTTGTAATGTCCACCGGGTGTTCCAGTTCTCCTCGGAGCTACCTGATCTCCCTCTCTTGCAGAGGATGCCACGGACTACCATGTGTGCGTCTCCTTTCTGGCCGGCTGCAAACTCAGGGAAAGGCCGTCTCGCCTATTTCTGTTGCCTGTGACTTTGTGGAGTGTGAAACCAGAGTCCTCTTCAGAGGAAGAAGCAGGGAACCAAGGGTTAGGGTGTGGGGCAGTCTCTCTTCCAGGGGAAGTAATCTGTTAACTGACATGTCCACAGCCTTCTCACAAATCCACCATCTCAACTCCCCACCTGAGAGACTTGGAGACTCGAGGCCCATCTTTACTACTTGGACATGAACATGTTTACTCTGGGAGCCAAATACGGTGCTTGGGCCAACGTGCATGCATCCTCGGGAAGAATGCAAAGGAATCCAAGGCATGGTTCCTGCCTCAGTGTTTCTGGAAAGATCCCAGGGGCAGGATTTAACAGCACGATGTAGTTGCGTCCCATTGTTGAGTTAAACTCAAAATCAAGTGGCCAGAGAAGCTCGGGAAGCCCAGTGAGGATCGTTTTTGCCTTTTTCCAAAATGTTTTTGTTATACTGTCCATGGGTGAATCCTATGCTCGTCTTCTACCCGCAGGTGCATCTCCCAAGAAGAAAGTCAGGTAACTCTATCTAAATCTCCGCTCTGTGGAGGATGAGCAGGATGGCACCCAATGAGCAGCACACGGGCGTGCTCTCCTGCTGGGCTGTCCCATTTGTCTGGTGGGAGGAGACCAAGTGGGAAATCTTTTTTTTCCTTTCCTGTTTTCACTGAAAATATAACTGAGAAATCACTGTCTATTTATTGCGACCTGACATGGTTGCGCTTATTCCTCGTTACTGTAAGTTCATTTTTTTCTTTTCCTCTTCCCACAGACCAGCCAGCAGACATGATGAGCACCAAGGCCTTTTCGCTGGTCTCCGCCGTTGAGCGGGAGCTGCTGATGGGCGACAAGGAGCGCGTCAACATAGAATGCGTGGAGTGCTGCGGCAGGAACCTCTACGTGGGCACCAGCGACTGCTTCGTTTACCACTTCCTGCTGGAGGAGAACACTTTGCCCGCAGGGACAGCCACATTCACTGCCACTAAGCAGCTGCACAGACACCTGGGTTTCAAGAAGCCAGTGAACGAGCTGCGAGCCGCGTCGGCGCTCAACAGGCTGCTGGTGCTCTGCGACAACTGCATAACTCTGGTCAACATGATGAGCCTGGAGCCCGTCCCCTCAGGGGCCCGCATCAAAGGGGCCACGGCCTTCGCCTTGAACGAGAACCCTGTGAGCGGGGACCCGTTCTGCGTGGAAGTCTGCATCATCTCGGTCAAACGCAGAACCATCCAGGTGTTCATGGTGTACGAGGACCGGGTTCAGATCGTCAGGGAAGTGTCGACGCCGGAGCAGCCCCTGGCCGTGGCTGTGGACGGCCACTTCTTGTGCCTGGCTCTGACCACCCAGTACATCATCCTCAACTACAGCACGGGCGTCGCCCAGGACCTGTTTCCTTACTGCAGCGAGGAGAAGCGCCCGATCGTCAAGAGGATAGGGAGACAGGAGTTCCTGCTGGCGGGCCCCGGAGGGCTGGGTGAGCGGGCTGCTGTAGGCCTCTGGGAACCACTGCCTCTGATCTGCCCTTTCTCTTTGCATTGTCTCCGTAAAGTCATGCTGAAATCTGAGAGGGAGATTTTAGTTGTGAAAAATAGATACCCGTGGAGAGTATTTGCCAACATTGAGGTTATGTGGCAAGATATAAACAGAGCTGCATAACCGGTGTTTGCTGAAATTTCCTTAGATTGTTGTGAACGTGGGGTTCAGGGAACAAAAATAGGCCAGTCTCAAAACCAGTTTTATTTTGTGCTAAGTGTGCTAAAGTGAAGATGGCTCTGGGGATAGAATTCCTTTAAGTAAATAACTGTAAAAATTACAATCTGTAAGACTTCCTTATAAGATCTCGCATGGCTGGGTTTGTCAGTTGATTGTTTGAGCTCTTCATTCTAAAGCAGAGTTGAGGTGGCCCACTTAAAGGTATTTTCAGATGTGGAGACTTCAGTGTTATGTCCATAATTTTCTCTTTTATTGACTGCGGTTTCACCCACCAAAAAGTTTCTGGTAGCTGGCTCCTTGAAAGGGCTTCGGCTGTTTTGTATGGTCTTACTGGTTCTGTGGGCGGCCTTATTGAGAATAAGAATCTGAGCTGTCAGCTTCAGTGGTGTCTCCTGGTGTTTCCCTTTGGTCGTGGACGGCTCAGATTAGAATTAGTGTGTGTGTCTGTGATCCACAGGTGTTGCTGAGTCCATCTTAACACTGGTGGCCTTTAACCTTAGAGAGTGTGCGTGTGAGCATCTCATTTCAAAGTGATGGGTACAGATACATTTTCTTGTAAACAAAAATTCAGGTCATGAAGTAGTTAGTGTATACTTCTTGATTTTTACTTTTTTTTTTTTAATAAACTTTACTTTTTAAAGCAGTTTTAGGTTCACAGCAAAATTGAGAGGAAAGTAGAGTTTGCATATACCCCCTGTCCACATGTGCATAGCCACCTCTGTTGCCAACATCCCCCGACAGAGTGGTATGTTTATTACAATCAGTGAGTCTACGCTGACACATTATAATCACCCAGAGTCCATAGTTTACGTTAGGGTCCCTCTTGGTGTTGTACGTTTCTATGAGTTTGGGCAAAGGTATAATGATGTATACCCATCATTGTAATATCATACGGAGTATCTTCACTGCCCTAAAAATCCTCTGTGCTCTGCCTGTCACCCCCCCACCCCTGCAACCCCTGGCAACTGCTGATCTTTCCAGAGTCTCGTGCAGTTGACGTCATATAGTACATAACCTTTTCACATTGGCTTCTTTCACTCAGTAATAGGCACTTAAGGTTCCTCCATGTGTTTTCATGGCTTGATAGCTCAGATTTTTACTTTTTGAAAAAAGAATTCTTTATCCCAAACACTTTTACTTTTAGAAAAAGGTCCAATTTTAATGAAATTTTTTGATTGTGGAAAATATAAATAAACATATGTAGTAAAGAGAATATTATAATGAAGCTGATGTTGCCATCACCCAGCTCCTTGCCAGTTGTTTGATTTATACACCTAACGACGCCCACTGTGTTTTGAAGCCAGTCACAGACATCGCAGCATTTCATCTGTTGATATCTCAGTGCGTGTTCCTAAGTCACTTACAAAAGAAAGAGAAAACCACAATACCATTGCGTACCTAAAAAAATTTAACAGTAGTTCCTTAATATCATTAAATATCCAAGCATGTCCTATTTCTCCTATTATTACACACACACAGACATACATAAATACGTATATACATACATTTATGTTAAGTATATATGTGTGTTTATTTGAATCAGATTCCACATAAGACCCGTACATTGCAATTGGTTGGTAGAGCTGTTGTTTCTCTTACCTTTATTTTTCCTCTCCTTTTTGTATTTTTAATTTTTTGTTGAAGAAATTGGATCATTTCGCCTATAGCTTCCCACAGTCTGGATTTTGATGATTTCATCCCCTTGTATTATTTAAGATGTCTGACTGACCTTTATGTTTCCTACAAAGTGGTAATTAGGATGACAGGTTTTATCAGAGTCAAGGATTGTTGTATTTGCTTGTTTTGGCGACTGGCAAGACTTCTTCATTTATCTCTATGATGTTAATAACCATTAATGAGCATTGCCTAGGTCCTTTAAACCATTAGGGGCTACCCAGTGGCAACATTCTATCCTGCCATTCCTCCCTCCTATATTAACTGGAATGCTTCGGTGAAGATAAACGTATCATTAACGATTTGGTTGCCCCCAGGTACATTGTATAAGAAAGGCAAGATGAGACGGTTTTCAATAAGGTGATCCCTTCTGTCTTCCAGAGGAGTGACTGTTTTAAAAGTGCCATTAGGAATCATGGATCTAAATGTATATGGTGTGTTTCGGTACATCTGTGCTTGGTGGGAGTTCAGGCAGGTTGACTGCCGAGTCCTTTTCACATGACCCTAGAATGTGGCAAGCTTCCTTGCCTTCTGGTGTGACAGGTGTTCCAGGCTCACTTCGGACATTTCCTGCCCGAGATCTGGCTTCAGCCACTTCTCCAAGGACCCTGATGTTTAGAGACCACAGTCTGGATGCTGGAGGTGCTAGTTGTCCCTTGTTTCTAGGTCTCTTCAGTAGACAGAGCTAGGAAGTGGGCATTATTTAAACATAAAATCCGTTATGAGATCATCCTGATGGAACCAATCAGGGCTCCAGGGCGCTGACCCCATCTGTCTGCATACCTGTGTCTCTTCTCACCCACACCACAGAGCTTAGTAAACTGCCAGCCCAACATAAATGTTCCTTTGATGGATCCCACAGGACACAGAACAGACTAGCAATACCAGCGCCGCTGTTCCCACAGTCTGAGTACTGAAAAAAGTTGGCTTGTTTATAGTTTTTTGTCCTTAAGGTGTATGTATAACCCATTAGGAGTGTGCAGTCACAGCACTGTGTTTTAAACTCACTGGGACTAGTGACCCTCCGTGTGGTTATGTCACCAACTGGATATACAGTTAGATTAATTTATTTCATGTTACTTTCGATTTTTAGAAATCGCTTTTATTTTTTTACTATGTAAATATTTACAAAGTTCCAAGTCAGTGCAATACAGCAAGGTGTATTCAGAGAGCTTGGATCTTGTCTCCTTACCTAGTCTCTCTTTCCCCCATAGGTAACCTATACTTTTATGGCTTGTACTTTCATTTTTAAATAAAAATATAAACAAATATGTAAATATTTGTATCTCCCCCTTTCTTGGCCTTGTTCACTTAGCTGTATTATGGAGATCACTTCATAGCATAACAGAGATATTCCTCATTCGTTTTTGCAGCTGCATCTTCTTCATCGTGTGGAGGTACCATAGTTAATTCAGTCAGTCCCCTGTTGGTACTGGTGGGCATTTGTTTTCCTTTTTCCAGTCGGATGGTATTGACAGGGACTTGTCTTTTTGTATTTTCCAGTGCAACTGTGGGAAAGCTTTCTGGAGCTGGGATTCTGAGTCAAAGTGTGGATGCATGTGAAAATTGGCTAGGTGCTGTCATGTTCCCCTTGATAAAGGTCGTCCCCAGCAGCGTATGACAGTGCCTGCTTCCTCTCAGCTTTGCCAAGAGTAGAGTACATTGACCAACTTTCATGTTTTTACCAGTCTAGTGCATGAGAAGAAATGGTATCTCAGTGTAGTTATTTGCATTCCTCTTTTATGAACAAGAACAAGACTGAGCATTTTTCATACATTCAAGAGCCATTTGTGTTTCTTTTGATGGGAATTATCTGTTCTTCTCTCTTGCGTTTTATTTCAGTGTTCTTTGTATTTGAGATAACAACTTGTCTGTTATATGTTTCAAATACTTCTTTCCAGTTTTTACCATGCAAAAGCTATTCTTAAACATTTCTAAATAATCAAATGTCTTAACCTTTTTACTTCATTGTTTCTTGATTTTGAGTCATAGTTAGGGATGGGTTTCCCCCTCTTCCAGGTTACGGGCCAAATCACCCTGTTTTCTGCTAGTACTTGTATGGTTTCATTTTTTAGAGTGAAGAGTATAAGGAATGGGTTCAATGTTATCTTTCTGTGTGGCTGCCATTATCCCAAAAAACTGATTGAAGCTTCCATCTTTTCCTCACTGATTTAGGTGGCTGCCTTTAATGTACGCTAAGTTTCCTCATGCCCTTGGGTCTGTCTCTCGATTTCCTGTTTTGTTCCATCTGTCTGTTTGCCTGTTTGTGCACCAATACCTAACTGTTTAGTTTTAAATACTTTAGTGAAAACATTTGACTCCCATCAATATCCTTTTGTTGGTTTTAGTGTTAAGATTGAAGGGAAATAATAGTCAATCATACTTAGGATGCATTTTCCCCCAGGCTTACACTGCGTCAACTACACGGACACCAGGCTAAATGAACCAGCTTCCTAATTGTTGTTCTGCTTGTAATTGCCACAGTTATAAGCAAAGTGGAAGATCCCTTGTAAGCGCTCTTATACATTACCTATATGCAGATCCTGCATATAACATAGTAATCAGTACCATCATTACATTACATGGCTTCAGAAATTAAGTTCAAACCAATTACCATCATGGATGCATGTCTACCTTTAAACATATGGAAGCCACATATTTTCATTTTGCCGGCTGACTTTCTCCCTGAGGATCACCCGTGCCCACTCCTGTGTCATGAGAAATTGCTCTTAATTTTTTGCCTTAGTTTAAATTTTACTATTTTAAGCAACACTTTGTTGAAAATTTTGTAATGTAATTGATTATTGTGACTTTAAACTCTGCTCTTTGATATTGCTTCTTGAAAAGTGCACATAATTGAGCTGCTCTTACCACGCATGACCCCGACCCCCTCCCAGCTCAGATAAGGGGGTCTACGGAGATTTAGAAGGGGCACAATTAAAAATAATGGTTTTTAAAGGTGTACCATTTACAACTTTGTTATATTTGCATGTTGATAGTACTTGCACTCCTTCAACAATGTAGAAATAATAGTTTATCACCTACTTGGGACATGGGTGGGTGTTCATAACAGTAGCCTCTGTTCTTAAGTGGATCTCTGGTCGCTTATACTGTGAGACCTGGACCCCCCAGTTGCCAGTTACTGTTCTGCTCTTTCATTCTGGGGAAATCTTCAACTTTTCCTTTGGTGTGGAAGCCTTTCTTCTTGACCTGTGGCTCTGCCCTTTTCATTTCACGAAGATTCATGTCAGGACCTCTGCCCTGCATAGTCCCCTGGTCCGGTGATGCCTAGCCTTAAGTGGGCAAATACAGTGAGCCCGATTTAATTCCAGAACAAGGGGGGACAACATTTTGGTGTCCTGTTCCCGTGAGAGTTGTGCTATACAGAGCAGGGTTATTTGACCTGAAATTCAGCAGAATCCTCAGGATTGCTGTGTGCTTGTCCTTCACCAGTTTACCTTTTGCCAAACACCCGGGCAAAGGTGGCGTGAACATCTTTCCTGTTAGGCTCCCTTTAGCTGCCTGGTTCTAAGTGCATGGAAAATTCAAGATACCTCGAACCTGATTTCCTCCACCAGAGCTGGTGTCGATAGCTTTGCACCTCGCGTTCCTCTCTCTCAGCATTTTTAGATGCTGTTTGAATACTCTGGCATTACAGTTGCTGGGTTAGTTCAGGCTTTAATTGCGTCCTCTCTGTTACTGTAAGACATTGGCAGTGCCGGCGTTGTGCCTTCAGTCAGGTGACTGTCCCACCTCTGCAACCCGGCGGACTGTGCTTATTGGTGGCTCTCACCTTTGGTCTCTGAGCCATCTCAGCAGAGTTTTCTGCGCTTCCGTTGAACTCCCTGACTTCTCTGCTCTGGAACGGAATGACAACAGGAGGCCCCCGTGGCCTCGAGCTTGGCTGCGCGCTGCAGAACCGCGTTCTCTCCATCCTTCTGATTCTGCTCTGGCTCCTCTTGTGCTCCGTGGAACAACTCATTCCCTTCGGGAAGGGTGCTGTTACCCTTGAGACAGCGCTTGGGCTGTGGGCCCCTCTCCCGGAAGTCTCCCTCCAGGTCTGGAAGCGCAGCCAGGGCCTCCTCGCCAGCCCTGCACCCACAGCCCTGCCCTGCTGGCCTTTGACTCACCCTCTCTCTCCTCCCACCGAGCCAGGAACCCTGAACCCCTCGGCGTATCCCTTCCTCTGCTGTGCCCCTGGCCCCGTCGAGGCCTCCTTCCCAGTGGCAGGCTGCTACCTGGCCTCCCCAGTACATACAGAAAGAAAAATTATGAGTTAGCATGTTAAGCTCTCCGGGGCTGAGGCAGGGAGGAAAGTGCAGTCGGAGCTGAGTGCTCAGACCCACGGGCTTGCACGGGGAAGATGGCACCGAGGCGGGGAGGCTCCGGCAGCCAGAAGCAGGAGGGTCACGGGGAGGCAGGAGGAGGGGCTGTGTCCCCACACAGGGCCAACCCTGCTGGGGCAGGGAGGGTAGAAAGCCAGGCCAGGGGCAGGGCCAGTGGCGCTGACCTGGAAAGGGGACCTGGGGAGCATCCCATGACTTTGCCACAGGACACAGGTGCTTCAGAAAGGCCGCCCAGGGCAGTGGGGAGGCTGCGCTGAGGAGGAGGAGCGAGAGCCCCGGAGCCTGTTACACCCTTAGCCCGCCAGGCTTTGCTCTCGGGTGTGGAATTACTCGTGTATTTTCCGTAACCCCCTCACCACTGCAAGTTCCTAGACTGTGTCTCGTCTGTCTCTTGTACCTGACTTGGTGCTTGACGTACAGTAAGCACTTAGCATATGTTTATTGAATTTAAGGTGATGCCTAACATGCTAACTTATGATTTCTTTTTTATTTGTTCATTTAATAAATGAGCTTTTTTTCGGTTCTTGATGAGTTCACCCAGAGTTCTATACTCTTGGAGCATTACGCTCAATTTTCTATTATTATTAAAAATGCCGCAGTGACCATTCTTGTACTTATCAATTGGTGATAGATTTAAAAGAAGAATCACTGAATTTGTTCAGTTTTATTAGATAATACCAAAAAGCATTTCCTCACGCCATACCAACGCTCAGTGCTGTCAGTCTATGACCTTGGGCCAATCTGATAGGGAGAAGTTGGTTTTCTATTTTTTTTTCCTTTAATTACTAATGAATATCGAAATCTCTTCATGAATTTATTATCCATTTGCATTTTGTCTTCTGTGAATTAGTGATTCATACTCTGTCTGTTTTTCTGTTAGGTTATTGGTCTTTTTCATAATGATTTTTAGAGACTTTAAAGGGTCAAAGGGCAATACTTAAGGTGAAAGAATGGTTTGTGTTAGGCCATTGTGGCTCCTTTGTGGGAGATGCACACATGTGCACTGTCTCGCTCACATTCACACTCACACTCACACTCATAGGTCTGTTGTCTTGTCGTCTTGACAGAGTTTCAGTTGGTGCTACTTACCATGCCGAGAGCCAGTATTTAAAGTGGCAGTCAGGGCCAAATAGGTGTTGTAGGCCCAGTGCCGAGGCTGCAGGGAGAGCTCAGAGTGTAGGCGAGAGCAGGCCGTGTGCACGTGTGTGAGACCAAGGGGCACAGCCCAGCATAGAGGAGAAGGGCTCTGTTTGTTCCTGATCCAGTTCAGTACATTTCAGTCTTTGTAACCACAGAAGATGTGGAAGGGTCAGTGGTTTCACAGGTTTAGGAGTTCTGCTCATGTGGGATGTTTGAGATACTTTCCATTCTTTTGATCTTAAAGTGCCCTCCGGACCTCTCTCCCTCTCGCCCTTCTCTGTCGTGTGTGCTGGAAACCGTTTGTCTCCTGCAGCAGCATCTTATTGTTTGCAGGCAACAGCACGCTGTTTTTAAAGGTGTTTTTTGTCAACTACTTTGAAAACTAAGTTAAAATGGATTGATTTTACTTGGCGAATGTATTAATTTTGGTAAACCGTAGTATCTGTGGACTATATACAGCCCATTTGGAAATGACTAGCTCAGTGCCTTATGTACAAGGTAGGCGCACTGTCATTTAATGTGGATGTTATTATTGACAAACACTTAACAGCTGTCTTGAGTTGCAAAATTGGTTTTATGCCTGTATGGTGGAGTAGGTCGTCCACAGTGAGACTGCAGCTTGAGCGGGCCGGCTCCTGGTGGGACGCTGTGGGGCGTGCCCGGCACGAGGAGGTGCTCAGTAAATGTTTGAATGAATGTGGAAGGAGGGGAGAGCTGTACCTTAGAGATGCAAACCAGTGGAGGACTGGGTAGGAAAGAAAGCTTGCAAAGCTTCTGAAATTGTTTGCAAGTAACTTTTTCCCCGCATATAGGGACATGTGCTTTATAAACCTTCATGTGGGTATATGTGAACATTTTTTTAACTTCAGGGTTTTTTTCGCTGGGAAAGATTTGCTCTGAGCTAACATCTGTTGCCAGTCTTCCTCTGTCTCTCTTTTTTTTTTCTCCCCAAAGCCCCAGTACGTAGTTGCATGTTCTAGTTGTGCGTCCGTCTGGTTCTTCTATGTGAGCCACCACAGCATGGCTCCTGACAGACGAGTGCTGTGGTTCTGTGCCCGGGAAGCAAACCGGGGCCACCAAAGCAGAATGCACCGAACTTAACTGCTAGGCCATCAGGGCTGCGCTAACCTCATTTTAAATTGGAAGTAAAGGTAAGATATTCATTCTGGGGAAGGTAGTCCTCTCCCCAAGCATAGAGTCATGTGGTTCTTCACACACGCAGCATATTGCATTACCTTTCCTGTCTTGAAGTATAATGAGGCAGGGGCTATTCTGCATCCAGACTCGTCTACGGAAAAAGACATGCCAGGGTCACTTGAAGGCCCCCCCTAACTCCTCCTGTTTCCCTAGGCATGTTTGCGACCGTCGCTGGGATATCGCAGCGAGCCCCCGTGCACTGGTCAGAGAACGTGGTCGGGGCAGCCATCTGCTTTCCGTATGTCATTGCGCTCGATGACGAGTTCATCACGGTGCACAGCATGTTGGATCAGCAGCAAAAGCAGACCCTGCCCTTTAAGGAAGGCCACATTCTACAGGATTTTGAAGGTACTGGTTTACACAGAAGTCTTAATGAGATTTAGTTATCAGTCCTTTTAGGGTGATATTTCTTCAGTAAGTATTAAGGGCCCATTAGGAACTGGGCCTTATGTTAAGCACAGAAGATATGCGGATGATGGCAGTGTAATCTCTGTGCCCCAGGTTAGCCCTCTCCAAGGTTATTGGGGAGATAGACCTTTTAAACAAATAGCTCCAGCAGTTGAAGAGCTTCATATAAACAAAATAAGGCCAATTGGGAGAGCAGAGGAGGAAGTATTTCCTAGAAATATCAGGGAGGGCTTCCTGAAGGAGGTGGTATTTGAGCCAAACCTTTAAGGATGAGTCAAGCCAAGCAGATGTGGGGAAGAACCTTCAGGTAGAGAGAGGCGCATACAGATCTGGACAAGAGGAAGCCCTGGGCTTCGGGCCAGCAGGCAGTTCCGTGTGACTGTCGTGCACAGTGTGTGAGGAGGTGAGACGGGGCTGCAGCAGACCTGGGCAGTCAGGGAGGGACTTCCTCTGTGTGCATCCATGAGCCAAGAGAAGGATTTATTTTACTTTTCCTGAATTTTATTGTAAACGTTTTCAAATGTACTGAAAAGTTGAAAGAAAAAATGAACCCCTGTGCACCAGCTCCTAGATTCAACACTTGGTAACGTTTTCCTGAGCCATTTGAAGGTAAGTTGAAGACATTATGCTTAATCCAAAATTCTTCAGCAAGCATCTCCTAAGAATAAGGGCATTTTCCTGCATAACACAAAGCTGTTTTCACACCTTAGAAAATGAACTCCAGTATCCTGCCTTCAGATTTCCCAAGTTACCCTAAGGATGCCTTTTATGATATTTCCTTCAAACCAGCAACTCATTTAGATTTATACATTGGGTTTGCCATTTAAGGATTTTAGCTCAGCAGACATTGCCCTTCCCGTTTTAGCTGCTGGGGATAGAACCTTACTAAGACGCACAGCCCCCACATTAAGCATGTCAGATTCCATTTTGGGGCCCTGACACACACACTGGAGGAGCGTATTTCATAACAGTATCACAACAGTATCACAGTGCTGTGTACAGTGAGTGCTAGAGGGGGCCGCAGGGGGCCGTGGGCACCTAGACGCTGATAACATGACCCACCCTCGGTGGGAACAAGGGGAAGCTTCCTGGAAAAAGGGACACCAGCACAGAGAAGGGACAGAATCTCATCAGAGATGAGAAAAATTACTTTGGTTGTGATATGGAAAACAGATAATCTAGAAAAGAGAGCAGCTTAGGAGACCAGGAAGGAAGATGTGTCGAGGGTCCAGGCAAGGACGGATGAAGCCTTTGCTTAGACCAGACGCTGGGACTGGAGTAGAAACGAAGGATTCCAGCAGAGAAGAGCAGAGGGAGCAGGAAAGGCTTGGCTGACACTGAACTATCCTTCAGACAGAAAGAAGAGAATGTCCCACTGCTTCCTGTAAGCAGATCGTAGTTAGCTTAGAAGGTGCCTCCAGAAGGAGCAGGACGCAGTTTAAGGGCTTTGTAGTAGGAGCCCATCTTGGACTGCACCCCAGCCCTCTGGTCGACCGCCTGTGCGAGGCTCACCGGAGAAGGGAGTACGGCAGCGGTGGCCACGGGTCAGTTAACTCAGGGCTGTGGGGAAACTGAGGTAATGCCAAGACTTGGGTGTATCTGGATGAATCTGGAATATTATCTCATGGTTCAGGATGCTGCATTGTAGTCTCAGTTTTCTGTAACTAACTAACCTGGAGAGCAAAGAATTTTTAAAACTTTTATATGAGGTATATCATAATTCTTATTTATAATTTCCCAAAATTGATCTCTGCAACCTCAGTGGGACTATATATTATGTATCTACTCAGTTGATTTTAAATTTATCAGCACTTTTGAATGAAAAAAGGCAAAAAAGCATATTTTATACTTTGGAAATGTAGTATTAAGAGTTTGCCCCTTTCTGACAGTTGACACCATGGGAAGAAGAAAAGAGAAGCATTGTAATTTATCGTTTCTCCAGGAAGTCTCTGTTGGGAACGCTGTGATGAAACCGATCCACAGATCAGATAAGGTCCCATTTGGGGGCAGCGGTAGGCTTTCTTGCAGGCAGTGTGTTCTCTCCCTTTCCAACGGTGTTGAATTTCTTCCCAGGCAGAGTGATTGTCGCCACAAGTAAAGGAGTTTACATCTTGGTTCCATTACCTCTGGAAAAACAAATACAGGATCTTCTAGCAAGCCGTAGAGTGGAAGAGGCTTTGATTTTAGCCAAAGGAGCCCGGAGGAACATTCCAAAAGAAAAATTTCAGGTTTGTAATTAGCTAGTCCCAAGAAGTCTGTCTCCAAGCCGCTGGTTAGAAAGCACTGGGACCTAACCAAGCTGCATGGGCCCCTGTGTGGCAGCCCCTGCACATTGCTGTGGTGTCTCTTATTTAATTGTCTCAGCACACACACGCTGTGCAGATGAGGAAACAGATTGCAGGGCGAACAGCTGCCCGAGGTTGCCCTGCTAACAGAGGCGAGGTCAGATTTTGACCCTCTGGTTAATTCCCATGATTGATATCCCAAGTTGTATTCCTTATCAACTTTCTTCTTCAATGTGCCTTCAGAGAAGAATCAGGGGCTTAGTTCTTATAAACCGAAAGAATAATGTCGGGTTAATCTGTGTCCTAATTTAGAATTTGTATGTATTGGAATGGGGTTGAATTTTAAAGGTTCAGATTTATATTATCATGCTGATAAACTCTCTAACGTTGCAGGAATCCATCTATTAATTTCCTGAGGAGAAAAATTTAAATGCACATAAGAAACACTAACTTTAATATAGTTGGTATGATAAATATAATTGATATAATAATCACCCATTTCTCTTATTCCTGATGAAATCAGGTTCCCTAAAAGTTGCTACTTGATGATTTAGGTTAGTTCAGGTTACTCTATGTATTTGAGAGCAATAAAACATAATATTAGTGTGCGTACGCTTCACACGAATATCTGAATCGATCATTAAATGTTCTCGTGAATTGATAATGATCCCTTTGATTGTCGCCCATCAGGCAGATTTCACATGACTCTGATTGTTGTGGGATGAAGTAATGCTTTTTGGCCTCAGTTGCTTTTGCTGCCCAGGGTAGGCTCTGAAAGTGAAAGAAGGCGAGCTGTGTGATTTATGGTTATGGCATACAGAAGATGACATCTTTTCTATATTTAAATATTGATGAACTTTTCATCTTTGTTCCAAGTTTGTTACAGTAAGGCTGATCTGTTAGCATTCAGCAGGGGGCAGCAAAAGCAAAAAGAAGAAAGCTCCTGTCAGTCCAGGGCCCAGTGCTGGGCTGAGAGCGTGCACTTCTGTGAGTTTTGCTCGCCCTCCCTGTGGGTGGACAGTGGTGTGGCAGCCGACCGCTGCCACACTGTCTCCCGGCTCCTCCTCTCCTGTGAGGTGGGGCCTGTGGACGTGTTGGATGTCTAGATGGCCCATGTGTCGGGGGGCCCTCTGCTTGCACACACACATGCACACTTTAAGTGCGTAACATTTTCTTAAAGAGGCTTCCATGTTCTTTGTCTGAGTTTTGCTTTTTCTTCCTCTTTTGCCTAGAGTAGAGATATGCAGTCAACCGTAGCTAATATCAGTAGTCCTCTTGTTCTCTCATCGGCTGTCTCAGTTGGAGACTTTTTCTTTCTAACATGCTCCCTGCCTTCTCCCTGTGCCTCCGGATTCATACATGCAGCCTGGAAATACACCTTCCGAATGATCTCGGGTCCGCGCTTGGTCTCAGTGCCCGTTGTCACTGCGGGTGTGCAGACCCTGCTCCTGTGTTGCCTGAATTATTTAACAGCTTCCTTCGTGTGTGTCTGAAGTCCGTCCTCCATGCCACTAAAAGAATGATCTTTCTAAAATATAGACCAAACCCTTTGCTTAAAATGCTTCAGTGGGTGCCTCATTGCCCACTGTAAAGTGCACACCCTTGAAGTGCGGCTGGTCTGGCCCAGCCCACCCCTCCGCCTGGTCTGCCGCTGCCCTCCTCCACTCCTGCAGAACACGCCCAGACCCTGCATTCGCCTCAAAGGGAGGACGACAAAGGGAACTCATGGTGATCGAGCCCTACAGTGCACAAGCACTCTGCGAGGCATTTTAAAACATTTTTTTATCCTCAAAACAATTCAGAAATAACCGGTACCGCTGTCTTAACTCACCGAAGACACAGCCGCTCCGCTCGTTTTGCCTCTGGACACGTGGCTGGTGCAGGAGGGCCAGCTCTCGGAGACAGTGCTCTTTGCCCTGCGTGCCCTGCCTCCCCGAGTAGCGGGACGTGCCGTGTATTTCACCCGCCTCTGCCCTCTCTTTTCTTTTCTTGTTTATGATGTTAGTTCTGTTACTGGACTGTGCCTCCTTACTCGATAGAATACTGTTTCAGTGCCTTGCTGAAATATATCCTCTTTCTTAATCTTTCCCCTTCCTCCAGCAGAGCTGATGACCCTTCTGTGCTTCTGTGGTTATATATGTTACCTTTAACACACGTCCGTTTACTCCTCAGCTCCCGACTGTCTGTCCCCAAGTTCCTAGGTGGACTCTCCCCTCTTCCTCTTGCTCACACCCCGCTCACGCCTGGGCTGAAATACGAGGGAATGGGTGGATGGGCAACTCAGAGCTCTTCTCTGCTCTTCAAACAGGGCTGTGATATTATGCATTGTGGAGCAGAAGGGTTTTGTTTAAAACAGAACCATAAGAGAAAAATAAGGCAATATTGACAAAAAAGGTTTAGAGATGACTTTCTCTGGATGTGTATGTGTTTTTAAGGGTTAGATGTGACTCTTATAACAGTTAAATACGTTACTTATTTTAATTTTGCAGTGCTTGTGACCAAATGCTAGACCCTAGGCCTAGAGAAACCAGAAAGGGAGAGGAAAAGAGACCAGTATACTGGGCCTTTACCATTGCGCTCCTTTCTCTTCAGTTAAAACAAGTATCGGTTTTGCTTCACTGAGTTCTAAACTTTGTTGTTAGTGCCGTCCAGCTGGTTCTGATTCCTAGTGACCCTGTGGACAGCAGAGTGGACCCCTGCCCAGTCTTTTCATGCCATCCTCTCTCCTTCCAGTGCTATATCAGACAGTACTCCACTGCTGTTCACAGGGTTTTCATGGCCTATGTTTTTTTGGAGGTGGGTGGCCAGGTCCTTCTTCCCAGTCTGTCTAGGCTGTCAGTTCTGCTGAAACCTGTCCACCATGGCTGACCCTGCTGGTATTTGAAATACTGGTGGCAGAGCTTTCAGCATCACAGCAACACACAGCCACCACAGTGTGACAACTGACGCATGGGTAGTGTGGTTCCCTGACTGGGGCACGAACCCAGGCCGCGGCAGTGAGAGCACAGAATCTTAACCACTAGACCGTGAGGGCTGGCTAGTTCTGAACTGGGGAGGGATTTAGCAAGAAGGTTAACTGTGGGACTGGGGTTAAAGGGATATTTCTTCTGGAGATTGGAAAGGGTCAGAGAGCTATTTAGAACTTTAAGAAAGCGGGCTTAAACTATATTAAGGTTTAGGATGCTATGCAAAAGAGACAGCAAAAGACATCTTGCTTTACACAAAAAGATTTGTGTCAAAGAACTTTCTTGATTTATATCAGGTCTTATGGATAATATTCATATTTAAGCTTGAACTCATACATTTTTTCCATTTCATCTAAAAATATTTCAGTATGTATTAAAAGACAGAGATGCCCTCTGAAATGTAAGCACAGTGCCATCAATGTTAAGTCCGCCAAATCAGCACCAGCTCCTTCGTGGAAGGGAGTATCCCAGAGCGTTCCCGGCTCCGCAGCCGTCTGATGAGTGCTGTGTGCTGGCATCCGTCTTATCCTGAGGGAAGTCCCACTAGGGCTGGACAGTCAAGTTGCTCTGTTTCAGAGTCACTTGGGCTAATTCTTCTCCATGTAGTTCTGCCACCATCGCTTTTATATGAACAATTAGGTTCATTTGTTTCATAGGGATTGCTTTTCTAATGTAATTTCATTTTATAATTATGTAAAATATTAGCATAATTCAGATGTCAAATCAATAAGACAAAGTGTATTCACAGAAGTCTACCTTCTTTCTCTCCTTTCCCCTGATGTTTTCTCCCTCCTCTCTTCCTGTCTGTCTGTCTGTCTTTTGGTGTGAGGGTTCGTATGTTTGTTTTGGTGATAACCTTAATAGTACTAACCTTACAAAAGTCCTTTGGTTTGCTCTTTTGGCTGTGGAGGGCGGGGGGGAAGGGTCTTATCATCTGGTGGGCCCGCACTTTGAGCAGTGTTTGAAATTAGCTAGTAACCTCTTTGCACCTTTCCCAGCGTCTCTGTCACAGCGATAGCCCTTTATTCCCAAGTCACTCCTGCAGGGCGGTCCACAGACATGCTGTGCTTTTTCTGTCATCTCCCCATTCTCCCCCGTCTTTTGATGGTTATACTGTCTACTTTTTCAGAGGATGTAGCCGTCACATAACAGACTGCCTCCTTATATTTATCACTCTCAGTTCTGTAGGCAGATGTGTATTGGATTTGTGGGGATGACTCTGCAGTCATGTGGTTTTCTGAAGCGCTCCCTGGCGGGTCTTTCAGGATGGGTTTGTGGGGGCACTGTCCCCGAGTTTCTGTTGAGAGCTGTGGGGAAGAGTTCACCTGCGGCCTTTACACTGGAAGGCCAGTTTGGTTGGATCTAAGACCTTCGACTCACCTTATTTTTCATTGAGAGACTTAAGTAACTTCAGCCATTATCTTTTGGCATAAAGCATCGGCAGTCAGAAATCTGATGACAGTCTGAATTTCTTTCCCTTGTAGTGACTTCGTCTTTTTGCTTGAATACTCAAAGGATTTGTTTTTCTTTAAAATCCAGTGTCTCACCGTTGGTACTTACTGGCAAATTGGAGCCTGTGAAGTCCCGCCCACTTTCCACGGCTCTTTACAATGGCCTGCCCAGCTCCTGGTGGTTCGTGATGGCAGTTTGGGGACTTTGGCTTTCGTGGCCTCAACAGCCACTTTTCCTCTCCACTTCTTCCCTCTGATACCACCCACGTCCTGTGGTTGGTGGTGTATTCCCAGGGGCTCTTACTTTCCTGTTTGTGGGCCTGCCTTGTCACTCAGTACTGTTACAAATGTGGTCATTGGATTTTTTGTTTTGCTATCCCAATTGTTCTGTTTGGTTTTTCTACTTGTGGTAAAGTACGCACAACATAAAATTTACCGTCTTAACGTCTTTTTTTTTTTTGCTGAGGAAGATTTGCCCTGAGCTAACGTCTGTTGTCAATATTCCTCCTTTTTTTCCTTTTTTATG